GTATATATATATATATGCTTCTGGCTGTGTGGCTTTCATCCATTCCATATATGTCTGGGAGTTTCTATGCAATCTAACAATCTAAGTTTAAATAATAATTGATACAAATACATTTTAGAAAAGATAAATATAGTATAGTAAGCTTAGTACTTGTAAAAGGATACAAATGAAATATCTAATCTTCTTATGGTTTATATTGCAGTGTCTGCATATCTTCTGCTCTCTCCAAGATTTTTGAAGTGCTTCTCTCTCAATTTCTAGATCAAGTCCATATTTTCAGAGGATTTTTCTCTTGTTAAATTGTTTAATGTTAATCTATATTAAAATGGCCTTGGGGTCTCTGAACAGTGCTCGACAGTTAAGAGGGAGTAAAAGGGTTCAGAGGTTGTGATTTTTCCTAACTAACTTGCGATTCTTTCCTAACCAAGTTGGGCAAGACTCCAAATTTCTTCCCATAATTTGTTTCTCTTCTTATTTAGGCGACTTGCATCTCTGTGGTGTACTGATCTTTCTTGGTTTGAACAATCCTTTCTCCATATTTAGAGTGAAGGTCATGAGCCTAGACACCATTTTTACCCAGTTACTGATATCTGTGTCCATCTGTTAGGTGGCACGGCTGGCCTTGGCTTTTGCTGAAGCCATTTGGTTGTACAGTAGACTCGTTTTGTGAAGGAAAAAGGGTTTGAAAAGGGTATAAGCTACTTTTTCTCCTCTCATACATTTTTTTTTTTCTTGTCTCATGACTTTTATCTGCTCAAACAGACACGGAGTAGCCGCTACTACCAACATGACTCAAAGTGACAGCTTATTTGTCGCCCTGCTTCAGGGAAGAGGCCTGTTTTACACTAGGCAAAGCTATCAAAGGAAAATGAATATGAATATGCAAATGAAACCCATTATCTCAAACCTACTTAGACCTGCACAGGAAACACAGCAGCATCTGACAGAAGGAAATGGCCGTAATTATGTAAAATGTCAACGTGAGGGACAATGTGTTGCAATGGTGACTTACAATCATGGCCGCCCTCTGTCAGTTGCATTCTTCCGCCATGCATTTGTTAAGCAAATGTAAGCACTGAGCCCTTTATTAATTATATAAATGTCTGTCGCCTAATGTGATGCAGCCCATGTACGTTCTTTTGGTTTCAAACGTAATAAAGTCATGGTGTGAGTCAATCTCCCATTTTTGAGAGTGTATTGACTGTGCTAAATTCATTCTGGAAGTCATTTTAGAGATGTGCTTATTGTCTTTAGACCACTATTTTGTCTATAATTCAGTGTATGCCTTTGTAAAAGCTCAGGATATGACTGATTGTTTGGTTACATGGTAGAATAAAGGGATACAATCTTCAATAAAATGTTCAATAAGAACAACAACAACTGTAAACACATCTTCCATGTGATCAGCTGTCTAATGAAATGATTTACTTCACATTAAAGGAACAGTTCATCCAAAATAAAATAAAATAAAATTTGTCATCATTTACTCATCGTCAAGTTGTTCCAAACCTGTATGAGTTTCTTTCTTCTGTTGAACACAAAAGAAAATATTTAGAAGAATCTTGGTAACCAAGCAGTTGCCGGTATAATCACTGACTTCCAAAGTATATTAGATATATTTTCATTTTTGGGCAAAATATCCCAAGTTGAATCAGTGGGGAAAACTAAACATGAAATGATGTGCACATATTTATTTTTACATATTTAATCAGTATAAAATAAACAAATTAAAATATAAGAACAAAATTAAATATTATAAAATAAAAGTAAAATATAAAAATATAAAAATATATTTGTATTGAATTTTTATATATTTAACAAGTACAAAAATAGGAAAATAAGCATGAATGAAAATAAAATGTTTACTAAAGCATGATGTCATTCAAATGTATTTATTTATTTACAAACCATAGATAGTTTTAGTATTTAAAACGTTTGAATGCAGTGAGAATACGATAACTATAACAACAATGATAAATATATTATTTTAAAAATTGCTCTAAATTTTAACAATATACTATAATAACTATAAACTAATAACTAACGATAACAGCACAAAGGAGTGGTATCATTGTAATTGCTTTCAGATAATTTTTTTTTTTCTAGCTGGTAAACAATAAAATCATTGACAGTCAATCAGATTCTATCCTGCTCTCAAGTATTTAATGTGGCAGATGACAGAACTGCAGTGCATGCTTACAATAAACAGAATGTCATTGTCCGTTGGTGTGCTGATATAGTTATCATTATAGTTGTCTTTATGGTTATCATTGATGGTGTGAACGGGCCTTTAGACCTAAATAAGCCCAGGCAGCTGTATATGAATGTGTATTTGCTAGATTAAGAGGGTGACACATCTTACCCCACCCTCCCTTACGGGGCCACCATAAAGTGCAGAAAACACAGTGAAAGCACATTTTATAAGCTTTTATTCTTTTGTTGAGGTGTTTCACGGGGTCAGCACTGTGAATGTGTGATGCGCGTGCATGCATCAGTGTTTGACGTTCTGGATGGCTGGTTCAGCAGCTCCCGCTGTCTTCTCACTGACCCTGAGGCTAAAAGCTCTCACAGATCATAGAGCCCAAGGTCAGGGTTGAGAACTATCAAACACAATCCCACCCGGCTTAAAGCCTCGAAGGCCGATTGAGTCCCGCTTGTTGACACAAAAGAGAAGTAAACACAACATCACGGGGGTCGGGAAGACAAACAATTGAAGGGCTTTTGGAAAATGAGCATAGCTATCCACCGGCCCTTAGGCGCCACTGGCTTCTAAATAGCTTTAAAGAAGTTTTCTGAACTTTACTGAAGAGTAGATGTTAAAATTAGTATTTTGGCTTTAAGTTAAATTAAAATAAAAACCCCAACTTGGCAATGCATTGATGTAATAATGCTTGGTTTATCTTGTGTAAATGTAAACAGACAGGAAAAACATTATTTATACAATATTGCATCAGTAGGTTTGCATGCAGTGTAAACAGTCTAATATACCTTTTGCTGTTTAATATTGCTAATATTGATCAAACAACCGTATATTGATCAATTAACAATATAAAATGAGAAAAACACTCATTTGTTCTTATCTTATCAATTTATATATTTATTTATGTATGTTTAAGCTCTTGAAGATCATGAGATCTCATAAAGTTCATTTTGAGCTCTAGAACTGTTATTGTTAACTTGAATTGTTTGCTACTGTACCTGTCCTGGAAATTGCTCCTTGAAACATGTAAATTCTCGTGTAGCTGTTCTTTTTTTTTTTGGTTAGAAAAAGAAACTGTCTGCAATTCTGCAATGAATATAAATGTGATGGAGTGGAATAAGAGTAATAAATAGGTCAGATATATAGATTTATTTGATTTTTGATTTTCTTTTCACAGGTGATTCTGATTCTCACCAAGCTGTATGACTTTCACCTTGGCAGTGTAACGGAAAGCACTTTATGGAGGTGAGCTAAAAGCTACCATCTCTTCCTCTACCTCCCACATCTCTCCTCCCATCTCAGCTCTTTTCCCATTCTCCATTACATCTATCCCAGGCAAAGTATGTGAGCGATGGAGAGCGGAGTTGCTTGATTTTGCCTAGAGTGAGGAGCAATAGTATTCACTTCAGGAACCATTCCATCTCAACCATGACACTTGCACATCAGCAAGAATTCACAGTGTATTAAACAGTCTTAATTGCATATTCACAATTTTAATTTATTGACACATTTTTATGTGGACAACTTATCTTATCTTATCTTTGCCAGTTAAGTATAGCCTGTTTCTTAACTATCTCCATATTTAAAGCACGAAAAAAAAAGCCTTTGACACTGATCCAAGCCATAAAAGTCCTCTACAATCTAAATTCAATTAATTTTGTTGTCCATTTGCAATCCTTATTGCCTCTGTTAGATTCTCGTTTACCAGTGTTTTTGGATGCTTTGTGCAGCTGAGAGTGATAGGAGCAGCCTTATCTTTCACACGGTCAACTGAACACTTCAATTTGTACAGAGAGAAGCTTTGTATTGAGGTGCTTAAGTCTGACGATTTACGATGACGTCTGATTTGAGATGACAAGTGCAGTGCTCTTTTCATGAGCTGCTGTAGGGCAGAAGGGTTTCAAGGTTAATGGGTTTTCTGAGAATACACTGAATGATTTTCCTAGTAAAGGATGTCTCATTCTATGTGCAATATAAGTACAAGCTATGACAGGTCTGTTATTCCTTAATCGTTGTGCAATTAAGCAATTATAATATTAAGTAAATTATACTGTATATAATTAAGATTCAGTTTTAACTCAGTTTTAAAGAATGTAAGATTTTACACTACAGTACATTGTCCATTTCTCATCTGTTATATGTAAATATAAAATAAATAACATTAAAATAGCAATTGTATCTGTAAAAGTAGTAATTAAATTAAATTAAATTAAATTAAATTTTTATTTATTTTATTTTATTTCTGATATGCATGTAACTTGAAATGATAAAATGCAGAGAAAATATTAGTTGGAGATGGCGAGAAAGAAATAGAGCAGTTAAACACATTAGCCTTTCCGCTTTTAATCAACAGTACCGCAAATGCAAACACAGACCCGACTGTCATGATTAAGACTGAATTCTCACACTGTTGTGTAGTCTAGCCTACTAAACCCTGTGGATCTGTGCAGCCTCAGTTTTAATACATCACAATGACTGCTCCCATAGCAATGAAAGTATGTATTGACAAAATGATGGCTTGCTAATACTCAGTTTTCCACAAATCAGGCCTCTGGGGAGTTCTTTGCTCATTTACACAGGCTAACAACAAGCGTAATCCTGACGCCGCCTGCTATTTTCTTTCTGCATCTGCATTTAGCTTTGGTCACTGACGGTGTTTCATGATAAAATACACTTCAGGGCCCACACATCTTCATTCGTAATTGAGATCAAAGTTCAATTAAGATGGAGGTGGGTTTTGAAGGAGCAACTGGTGAAGTTTAGTTCCGCTAGCAGAAAACTAGACAGCTGTTGACTTTTTGAGAAAGGTCAGGGAACGAGCATCGCTCTGAGAAACTGCGTGTCAGTTTTAATGAACAGCATGACCTTAAACAATGGAGCAGGATCAGTCATTTTTCCAGATAATATTCAAAGTGAATGAACCCCTCTGTGTGTGGATGTGAAGGAAATATCGGTGCCAGTAGAACTGACGCTTGTTTTGCTCAAAGCACTGTGCCTCTGTCTCATGCAAACATCCTGGGTTCTCGGAGGAGGAGGAAACACCTAATACCTTATTTATAATTCATTAGCAACAAATAGATGCAAAACGGAACTCTTAAGTTCTGAAACGTTGTTGCACTTTAATAGGATAGGAGTTAGTTTAAAGGAGCAGTATGTATGGAATGGGTACTGTAGTCAAAATTTAAAATACTGGAGAGAGTTTTTCCTCCCGCCACCTCCTCCTCAGACTCAACGCTCATGCGGGTTGCCAGTTTGAGGATACGCAACAGGAACAAGCGCAATTGTCAATGGAAGGTGAAAAGCCTTATCTTTGAAAAGTTGCATTTATTCATCCGTGTTTTATTTTGCTTCTGGTCATAGAGATTTTTAGATGGATGTCGAGGCTTTTTTAGGTCATAGAATCTGCGATCTCTGACCCAGTTCATTTGCTGGCTTCAAAGGCTGCAATACGATGTGTTTTCCGGCAACTGGCAACCCGGAGTGTCAAAATCCTATTGGGTAAATTGGCAGTGGGTAGAATCACACAGACCAAAACAAAAACAGACATCCTGATACGAAACACATTGTTATTTGGAGAAACAATAATGTGAACTTAGCATGTTTCCTAAATATCTGCAACATTGTTACAGTAGTTTTATGCTTTAGTACAGTCCAAAACAAAACAAATCAAAACATGCAGCTCCTTTAAAGATATAATGAGAATAGTTTTTATGAGCCCCAATCAGGCTTTTTTTCTGTTAGAAATAACTGTATTTTCAAGATAATGTGAATAGAGCAATTGCTCTTCAAGTATTTGCATCAGTATTTGCACTGTTTGACTGTAAATAGAATTTAGCGATAATTCTATTCAAACATAACATGATCTGATGTACCTGCTCTATAACGGCATATAGTTGCTTCAGGACCACTAACCTCCACTGTTTGTTTCCACCTGACATTGCTGCCTAGGGGGGTCATGCAAGGGTGAGCGCTGACATACTTTCAAATTGCATCATTTTGGCAGTGGCAGGTCCTATATAGAGTTGATATTTCACAGGTCAGCGCGTGCAACACCAGTCAGACCTTTCAGAGCAGGACTTACCTGATGTCCCTGACCTTTTAAAGAAGTCAGAACTTACCTCTCAGCGAGAAGAAAAACAAGAACATTGCCAATGTTCATTTTCCCCATGGATTCTCTTTGTGCCATCTCTTATTAGAGGATGACAATTGTCCAGCTGTTTTTACGATCTTTGTGGCTTTATTGAATTGACATGCTTGATTTCCAAACAATGCACTCTGATCAGACAAGACAGACATTTATATTGCAGTGTGCCGCAGAAGTATTTTAAACTCTTCGGACCTTAAAATGAATCATAAATATCTGAAATCTTGACTTTTCCAACAATTTAGAATTTACTTTGAATAGTATGTATGAAATATGTTCGTATGTATTTATATGTATGTATGTATGTATAAAGTAATATTATTATCTCTTGTTGCTATATTTGACCATACCTCATAAACCTCAGGATTATGATTCCTTATTTAATATATACTGTATAAGATTTATGAAAATTCTGCGGGCTCCCGCTTCACCCCCTCTCAGTGCTTTCTGACGACAATCATAAATCACTAACGATTATTATTCAGAAGGTCATTTACCACACTCTATTTTTATTGATATTCTTACCTTTTTAATTACACTCTGGTGGGACTTCCCCTTATATCCTGGAGCCAGCTCTAATTTAGAGTCTGTCATAATAATAAATTGAGAATATCATCACAGCCATCAGCATGTGCTCGCTAGACTGGATTTGAGAGAGGTTTTCTAGTTTCAGAAGCAGCCTCAAAGGTACGTGTTATGTTTACTGTAATCAAATTAAAATCCCATCAACATGCCAGATGTGTCAGAAATGGGAGTCGGACCGTTCCCTGTCCTGCTTTGGTGGCCCCAAGGGTCTTTCATTCTAAGCAAAATAGTCTAAATAGATGAATAGAGTCATATGCTTGACACATAATCTCTGTTAACATAAATACTGTAGGTTTAAAGGTCTCATTTTCCTTTTTTCACGGCCCCAATTATTTATTATAATGACACATGTCATATTGTGCTTGTCTCCATAGCCTATCTGTTGAATTGAGCGTTCCGTTGATGAGAAATCTGGTTTCATAGCTGTTTTTTTAATGTTTAATGTAAGTATGTCAGGAAAATAAGCAACTGACTTATTAGCGCTGGCTGATATGCAGAGCAGGTTGTTTAGACCGATTTAGACCAGAACCAATCATAAAATGAAAGCATGCACAGTTGCAATGGTTTGAAACCTTTGAGCTGCACGTGCTCATGCAGAGCATTAAAAGAAATATAATTAGTTTTATGTTCATCCATATCAATTTTGCTGATATTCTTGTATGTATATTTATCTGGATGTATCTTATTTATCTGGATTGAAAGGAAATGCAAGTGCTTGCAGGGCTGCAAAAGAGTAGCATTATGCTTTAGACTTTGGTTTTTGTTTCTGTGTAAATTAAAGGGTGCTTTGCTTTTGTCATGACACTCAGAGGACATCTTGCTTTCAGTTGGCCGCACATACTAAGAATTGTACAGTTAAGTACTTTGGAATTAGAACAAACCCATAATTACAATGCTGGATTATTATTAAAACATTTTCAGCACTGTCCATCCTGTTATTAGAAAAAGTAGGGTGTTTTGGGTGGTTTCTATGTTGTTCTTGGAGGTTATTAGGTGCTTATTGGCACAAGTCAAGAGAGCCCCAAGTCTCTATGTTTGTCTGTTTTGTTTTGTTTGTTTGTTTTTTTATTTGCTTGTTTGTTATGTTGTTGTTTGACTGTTTGTTTGTTTGTGTGTTTGTTTTGTTTTTGTTTGATTTTGGGTTTTTTATGTGTTTGCTTTTGTTTTTTTTTTGCTTCTTTTTTTTATTTAGATTTGTTTGACACTTGTGCCATCTGATAGGTCAAAACTGTGAGTTTAACCACTTAGAAAAGTATATCTAAATCTCTCCTCAACAAGCCATACAGTTTGAAGTATTGATCATGTCCCGAGCAGAAATGTTGCTCAATGAAGTTTAAAAGTTTGGAGTTTTTTAAGATGCCATGTCCTAGAATGAACTAAACTTAATGTAAACTCTACTCCCTTAATTTTGCTTGCACTTAAACTAATTAACGAAACCAGATTAATAAATGTACTTAAATTAATTTAAAACTATCAATAAGTAAAATAATGAACATCTAATGCATAAAGGTAATGG